GTACCATTCTGGGATTTTTCTGGGTTTGTTTTTATTGTAGTGTTTATAGTTTTATCTCGAAAATTATGAAGAAAATCCAATTTCATGACCACTCTCACACCAACTATTGTACCCTTTAAGCGGACATGGCTAATATTGGCTAATTGACTTAATCAACCAAGTTTCTTTAATCAATGAAATAAACAGTGTTAGTGGTGTAAGTCCAAAAGCGGTGCAGACTGTGCAGTTGTGTAAATATATCTTTCCACATATTAAAAATAACATTTAATGGCATAAACATGAGTTTTACTCCCCTCAATTTTCCTCCCTTCTACCATATTATCTTTGCATAGTATTTTCCAAGATTCAAATATGGCTTAAAAACAGGAGACAACTTGCGTGATTCGAGGCATTGTCAGTCTCACATAAAAAAACTGTAAAAATCACCAACCACATTTGCAACAACCTAATCCTAACTGTGTTGGGATCGCCTGTTGCTTGAGATTTATAAAAATAACTAATAAGTCAACTACATAAATTTATGGACATAAAAAGGTCTAGAACCTTTCTACTATGGCAAATACTATATACGGAGTATGAAACTTGGGTTTTTTTCACTTGCACAAAATATGGCTAACGAGTAGAGAAAATGGAGTGCTATAATTGTATACTAATGCTGAAATGTAAAGGAAAACGAACCTCTAGTTGTTCATGTAGTCGCTTTTGCACTTCCATCTGCAGCTTTAGTGCTTCGGTAATTTGCAATCCACTGTTAAACAGGGATGATATTGTCATTATCAAAGATAACGTCAAATAGGAAACAGAGGTGGAGGATCTTAGATAAAGAGAATAAGAACCACTCACGATGAGCCATCTAAACCCGAGATCATATCCTTTGATTCTTTCTTGTCAATCTTTTTCCCTGGTGATTAACCATTTACCAAAAAATAACAAATGTCGTTATAATCGAGAATCATTATCATTTTCTTTCCAAACCCAGGTAAACTGCTTACCATCCGAGGAGGATTCGGGAAGGTATTTGGCAAGTCGATATTTCTGCAAGCGCCGAAGCATATATAATTAAGTAGGAGCTATGAAAAGCATAGAGAGGAACTCCAAAAATATAAGGGAAAAATGGGGGGAATAATTGAGAGGAAATTTGGAAGGAAAAAAAATTGGGAAAATAATAAAAAATGGTTCAAACTCAATGAATCATTTTTATATATTTAATCAAACTCATTATGGTTATACTCCGTAGTTTTTATATTTCTATTATGTAAAAACAAAAAATACAAATAAATGTAAAATTTTTAAAAGTCCAAATCAAAACTTATTTTCCTTTTGTGTTTTTAAGGTAAAACACACATTTAAAAACTACGAGCATTTTACTTGGCATATTTACCTTGTCCCTAGCATTTTCTGTGTTCAAAAGAAATATTTGCAGATATCAAAATTATCGTTTCACATGGCCTACCTGTAAATGGCTCTTTACATGGTAAATTGTCAGCCCTTGCACGCCCATAACTCTCAGGACACCTTTAGGAGTAGCCCCTGAACCATAAACATCAATCTCCCAAATATTTAAACTGAGTATACTGCATACATTTCATAGATAGAAGGCAGTTTCACACAGTAATATTTCTCATACTTCTAGTGATGGCACTAGCATGGTGCAAATTCCACATACTCCTGAAGTAGAAAAGATAAATTTTTAACAAAAAAACTTATGCTCAAAATCAATGTTTTTGGCTAGGAAAAAATAATAACCTTTCAATTCTATTTAGCAATTCTGTCCCAAAAACTCTTATTCCAACAAGTGGGATTCAAGTACTCACAAGAGTTGTTCCCTACCAATATTAAAAAGTTGTACCTTGATGGACTAGTATATTAGCATCAAGAAGAAGTGTTGGAAAAAAAAAGCACAACAAGAATAGGAAAACAAGAAACTCACTATCCGGTCCACCAAGCTGTGCCACAGCATCAACAAAACGCTCATGAAGTTCATTTGTCCAGCGGAGGCGTTGTTTTGAAGCAAGACTCATATTGTTGTTGAGGCTGTCCCCACCACTGATTGGATCCATTGTGTTCGGGCAAGCGTCTAAAGATTGAATGCCGACAGTGTTGCTGGGTAACATGTTTGAAGTAGAGACCCCATTTGGTTGATACATTTTGTTAGTCTGCACAGAATAATTGTAATTCTAGCACGGTAAGCATTATAACACAACCAACATGAAAATTACACCAACAAAATAACTACTAATAGTAAGCTTCCACTAGATACTGAGCTAAAGTCTTGATGATCTTTTGCACTGCCTCAGTCCCTAAAGAATGCTCTCACTTTCTTTATTCGTCATCATAGTTACCAGCACCTTAATCCCAACTACTTGAGGTATCTATTTATGTGACATTAAAATTATCATAATATTTAATTGGACCAAGAATTAAATATTAACTTTAAAATTATATATGTGTGTGTGTTTGTGAGTGTACAATTAACAAAAAGATGGTATGCTGCTGGCTGTTTACAACGTCAAAACAATAAAACTTAAATTCCATTCAAGTTTTATAAATGACAAATCTTGAAAAAACAATAATGGAACACGATAACTGAAAATTGAGCTTACGGAGATTGTAAAGCATACTGAATGATGCACTTCAATAAAATTAGGGTTTGAACAACAGAAATCGAGCTTACATATGTAGGCGACGACCCGTGCGGATCTAAGCTGCCGATGGAGTGGGAGAAATGAGGGCAAAAGAGGTTATTTTCAACTTACAGTGGAAGAATGTCCCCTGGCTTCTTCTTCTTTCTTCTTCTTCTTCACCGGATCTCCGGTCCCTCTTTTCCGACAGTGATTTTCTTTTTTCTCTGAATTCAGAAAAAGAAAGATTGAAGAAAAAATGAAAAGAAAGATTTGTACAAAGACGAAACTGCCCCCGCGGTCAGATCAGTTCTGCCAGGAGGACTCTGCTGTACGTCGAGACTCGATCCGAAACAAATTGGTGGGCCTTTGTAATTGGTGGGCACATCATTATTTTTGTTGGGCTTCACTAATGGGTGGGCTATATAAGTAATGGGCCGAAATATAAATTTTAACGCATATTCTCACTATGCATGTGAGAAAGTAAATAATGAAATTTGAAGTGACAATATTAAAAATTTAAGTACAAATATCACTTCCATAAATTCATCATATTTACAATTTCTAAGTACTCTATTCGAGCTAAACTGAAATACCCCCTCTTAACATGGAATGAAAAGAGGTCAAAAGAATTGATAGTACTTTACATACAAATCTACAATTATATGAGCAGACGCTTTCGGCCAAGATGAGGGCTGGGGCATTACAAGTACTTACTTCATCCTCCCAAAAAGAATGACACATTTCACTATTCAAAAATCATAAATTTTTTGTTTATTTGTATGTTTTTATCCATTGTCATTTTTTATTCCGAATAAATTTTGACGTAGTTTTTAGATATATGAATTTATTTTTTTATTTTTGTATAAATATTTAAATAAAATAAATTGAAAAAACATAAAGTTTCATTTCGCTTTGCATAATGTGACAAATATTTTTGGACAGATGGAATATTTATTTGTCTCGACTATCAACATATTACTCCGTATCACATTTTTTTCTTTTTTGTTAGAAAAAAACACATTTTATAACATTTCTCACTCGGTCGTGTTTTGTTTTTTAATACTCCATCCGTCCCAAAATATTCACAACATTTGTTTTTTCAGCAGTCGCGGAAACTTTTGTTTATTTCTAAGTTTTCAATGGTTATTTGATAAAATAAAATATTCTTGACACATCTTATTTCGAAGAACTTTTCATGTAGTTCTTTTGATATGTAAATTTTATTTTTTATTTCTATACCAATATGTAAATAAAATGAATTGAAAAAGTTTGATATTTTGCCTCGGAAATACAAATGTGGCAAATATTTAGGGACGGAGTAATATAATTTTATGGAAAATGCTAGAGTCACAAACAAATAGTTCACAAACTTCACAAACTTGCCTTTTTGGATTTTAAATTAAAATATCTTTTATTATTTGAGTGCATCTTATTTCTAGGGAAATGTTAAAAAGGCAAATTTTTGATTTTTGTGAACTATTTGTTTGTGACTCTAGCATTACTCTAATTTTATAAACGTCTTTTAAGTTTTTTGAATTTATTGCGATTAGGTCAATTGGATAGAGCAAACAGTAATTGACCAAATATAGAACATTCACTCACCATATGTGGTGGTAGCATTGTTATTATATCTTATCGAGCTGAAAAATAATACTCCCTCCATTTTTTAAAACACTTCCTCTTTCATTTTTTTCACTTCCAACAAAACAATTCCACTTTCTATTAAAAAACCACTTTTACCCTTACTTTTTCATACCCTACCTATCACATCATACTTTATCTCTAATAATCTATCTATCACATCTTACTTTTACCTATCACATCAAGGGCAAAATTGGAAGTCAACTACAATTTAACACTTCCTTATTTTTACACAAAGTCAAAATAGGAATACTTTTTCCAAACGGAGGGAGTACTACTTTCGTCCCAGAGTATTTGTCTACTTTCATTTTTACACATCATCCAATACACTTCTTTAATCCATTTTATCTTGTAATTTGTATATTAAAAAATTAAAGAAATTATATATTAATAATCTATATGTTAAGACAAATCAAACAAGATCACACATGACTATATTTAGGCTTACACATTGAGAGAATTTGATGAGTCAAAGTACTCAGATGAACAATTCCAAAAGTCAAAACTGAACGAATACTCCGGGACGGAGGGAGTACAATGCAATTTTTTTTGTCTCATAATAAAGTTTTCATTTTTTTATATGAAAAAAATCTCCACACTTAATTTAGATTTTTTTAGAAGAGGAAAATTCTAAGAATTATCTTCCATCAAATCAAAATTTATTGTTCCCTTTTTAAACACTTTACTCAATTTTAAGGAAATCTAACTTCCGGTAATGATCGGTATGTTCTTTTTTCAATTCAATATATTTGATTGTAGATGCAAAATTGAAAAATAAAATTTATATATTTAAAAATAACATCAAAAGTTATACAAAATAAGATTTGACAAGATTATTTTATTTTATCAAATAACTAACGAAAAAAATAAAGAAAATAACTAAAAATTTAATTGTGTGAAAAATAACTTAGAAGAATGTTTAGAACGAATGGAGTAATATTTTTGTTGCTAGCTAGCCTCTAAATAAATTCTATCGAGAGGTTTTCTTTTGTTAACAATTTTTTAAAATTTTTTGAAGTTAAATTAAGACTTCTATTTAAGAAGGGGAGAATACAAGTCAAAGACGTATGGTTGAACAATTGTGGCGTCATAATGTATTTAATGAATGAATTTTATTGGTTTTCTTTTATTCAAAATTCGCCCAGAGAAATCGAAGTCAAACTCTGCAGGCCGGTTTTGAAATAAAATTTACTCCCAATTTGAAATTACAAACTATAATTTAAGAGGCATATACATATTAAGAAACTTTGTCAAAATTCTAATATTTTGACAAAAATATTTTATTTAATGAAATAATCAATTCAATAAAAATATATAAATAAACAAGCTAAGCTTTTATGGATCATTTTAATTTGATTTAGTGTTTAAGTTTTGTTCAAGCTAAAGCAAGAATGATCCACAAATAACGAAATCAATAAGATGTCAAGATGAGTGTGCATATAATTAATAAATTGGATTATTTAAGATTCGAAAACTATTAAAATTTGAAAACCTAAAGAAATTAGAAAAATGAGATGTCATTTTAATAAATAATCTAAGTATGGTGGCACTTCATATAAATGAAAATTGAAGTATATATGATAATTATCACACGTAGGCATGTTTGTATTTCTTTGAATGCTAGTCTTCACGCTGACTTTTTTTTGTGCTATAAATAGCAACATGCAATTCATATTGTGAAATAAATAAGAACAAAAACATACGTACTATAATAATTTCATTTCGTTCTATATACATTAAATTACCTCATAATTCTAATAATTATCATCCCAAAGATTGAATTGCTTGGAAATAAAATAATTATGGCTACATACAACAAAGTTTGCCTCTTCACCGTCGTCTTCCTTGTGTGCGGTACGTGTGTGTGTGTATTGCCGTGTGACAATGATTTAAAAAAGTGTTTTATATTTTTCTCTCTTTTGTTTTGGAAAAAAATGTGTTTCGAAATTTTCTAAAAGTTCAATTTTGTTTCAGATTTTCTGAACTGTTCTATCTTAAATTAGTTTCTTATTTGAAGTGTAAAATTTCATTTTTATGACTTCTCTTTTAAAGTGAATAATGTTTCTCTTAGCTACAAAAGAGAAGGTCTTCTTTTTTTTGCATATTCACTCTTAATTTGGTTTAGCATCATCTTTTTTGTAAGTTATGGATTTACCTTTCATTTCCTTTCTTAAAAACTTTGTCACTCTATATGGGGTATTATTTTTCAATCCTAAAAGTTGATTATCCTTCACCCCATAAGTTTCTTATTTCAATTTCATTTAATTGAAATAACTATTTTATCGTGTTAATTTGTTCTTATAATGGACTTATTTTTAAATATCTTATACCATTGTTCTTAATTTCATGATTTTAGGGCCAATATTTTTAAATTGCACATGGCCATTCAGACTAATTGGGCGGGCCTGATATATATAAATGTGTGTGTGTGTAAGGGCCGGTTCCCGTAATAATTAATGGACTTTGGTGAAAAAATTAAGAATGTTGCATTTTACAAAGCATGTAGTGCATTTTACAAAGTTCGATCTAACTGCAAAACTGCCACTCTGTTTTTTTTTTGGATTTTTTCTTATTTTTCAATTTTGTATGGTCGTAGACCTCATATTCTAAATCACCACATACATTCTTTTTTTCTTTCCCAAGATATTCACTCTCACGAAAATCAAAATCTCTATTTTATAATATATACTCGGTGCAACTTATAAATTATCATTATTTTACATGTGTATATACATACATATATAATGTGACATGCATGTAGGTATATTTTTGATGGGGAATAATGTGGAACAAGTAAATGCTCAAATTTGCACTCAAGAATGCAACCCAAACGCGGCCTATATGATCTGCCAGCCAAACAATAAGAAGACCAAAAATGTGTGCACCAATTGCTGTAAAATTCAAAACACCCGCTGCCATATCTACACTTCAAAGGGTGGTCTCATCTGTTGATCCATTAATTATAATTAATTAAATTATTATAATTATTATAATTAATAATGAAAATAAAAGTCGATCGTGCACATCAATTATGATCGGGTATATATGAATGTAATATTGTAAAATAAATGTATGCACATACACTGTGCGACACATATTTGTATTGCAAAATATAATAAAACATCAGATTAACAGAATACTTTTAGTGTGGTTTTATACTTTTATTAAGAGAATATATCTCTATGTTATAGATAATATAGTGTACCATATAAATGTGTTACTACTACTCGTATTTTCAAAATAAGTCATTTGATATCTTTTGGACGATCATAAATTATTTTGACTCGAATGTATTAACTAGTATTATTCAGTCTCGAGGCTAATAGCGGAACGCAAAAAAGAGTACTCGCGACCGATGTGTTCGGTGTCTTCTTGTTGTGACACTGAAATCCAATGTCAGGAGAACATAAGATGGTCTATATGCCCTTAAGTATACACAAAGGAAGTGATTATGTTTTAATTTTTTTTTAAATACTCCTCTCTGTTGAAACTTTCTTGGTCTTCACCAAGTTACTTTTTTTTTGGATAAAGCTACTTGTACCCCAATCTTTTGTACCCCGCAATTTTGCACCAACATTTTTTGTTGGTGTAAAACTAATTTTTGTTAACGCAACAACACTTTGTGTCCGTGTAAATTTTTGTTAACGCACCAACATTTGTGTCGGTGTAAATCATCAAAATGTTTGTGTATAACTACGATGTACAAATGGGGTACAAAATTTGGTGTAAATGTAGCATGGTCCTTTTTTTTTGAAACCCACCTAAGTTACTTAAAATAAGGTGAAAGCAGGGCAAAAAAGTGACCAATCCGAATTCGAAAGCCCAATAAAAGGAGAATAAATCCCTTTGGGCCGAACCCAAAGGCCCAACTAAATCCCTTAAAAATGACCTCTTTTCTAAGGTGATTATTCTAATTAATAACCATTTTTTCACTTGCGTTTCAACATAATCATTTACCTATTATAGCTCTGTTCTTTTAGGTTGAAATTTTTTTAATTGGATGTTGGAAGAATCTGGAAGGAGTTTGAAAAAGTTGGAAGAAATTGAAAAATGTTGAAACAATTTAAGTGTTAAAAAATCACTCAATTAAATAATCTCCCAAATACATATATATGTAAGAAAATTTTAATTTTAGATATACAAAAATCACCATTCTTTGTGTTTGTTGTGGGATGTTACAAATTCAAACTTTTTCTGTTATTTTATATTCATCATATATAAGTATATATTTTAAGTTGTTGTTGCAAGAAACTATAAGAAGTTAGAAGGAACTAGAAGCAGATGGAAAATATAAGAAAGAGTTGAAAAAAAATTGAAAGTTAATTTTTCCAACATTAAAGAACAGAGCCTATGTAATGTCGATGATATTATCACAAATATAATTGTTGTAATTTTTTTTAGATATGTCCATTTATGATAAGAGATGTCACTGAAAATATATAAGGGTAAACCATGGTGTAATATCTGTAGTTACACTAACCATTGTTCTATTTTTCTATTCTATATTCCAAATTGGCAAGTGTAAAACACAAGACAAATAAGAGGAACAAATCCTTGACTTTATTTCTATTCTTTGACCCATGAATTTTGTTTGGTCCGGAGGCCAACCTCTCATAAAATACTCCCTCTACCTTATAAAAAAAAAGATATAACTTTTTTGGAACTTAAAATTTTTTTTTGAAAAAGAGTAATTTTTTTGAAATGCCAAAGAGAGTGATTTGGTTTTAGTCATTTATTTTAATTTTTAAATATAAGCAACATTACGCTAAATGAAATAATTTTTTGAATTTTTTCAATCCATTTTATTTAAAGAATGGTCTACAAAAGAAAAATAAAACTTACATATTTAAAAACTACGTCAAAAGTTCTACAAAACAAGTGGTGACAAGAATATTTTATTTTATCAAATAATCAATAAAAATACAAAAATAAATAAAGGTTTCCAGGATTTTTAAATACCAGAGTGTTGCTTATATTTTGAGACGGAGGGAGTAATATGGAGTAATTTTTTTAGGGAATCGCCAATCGGTAAAAAGAAAAGTAAAATATTTCTTGTAGTCATGTGGAAGGGAGTATTTAAATGTACAATGTGGTACCACGGCTAGATTTTCTAAACCGGAATCGTACTATTTGAAAATGGGTTAAAAAGCACTTCCATCATCCAAAAAAATAAAATCCTTTTTCTAATTTATAATTGTTGACTGATTTGTTTTCAATTTAATTTTTTGTTAAAATTGCTGTAAAAACTTAAAAATAAAATTTACGAGAATATACTTAAAAATTATAAAAAAATATACTTCGTATGTAATATTAAAAACAAAAGATGGCATGATTATAGTATTTACAGAGCATTCAAATTATACAAAAGATGATATAATTATATTATATATGGAGCATTGAAAAGTTAATTGTGGGAGAGAGAGAATCTATTAATACTTACATCAACTTCCATCTTGGAAAATACTCAATATTTTAATCGTTCTATTTGTTTTTGCTTATTTTATTCGGATCAATAATATAAGAAATATACATATATGTAATGTACTTCATGCGTCTTAATTTAAGTTGCAAGTTTACTAATCGTATAATCGAACTTTATCTACTTTATTTTCTTATTTTTCGTTAATTATTATTCACATCTCATCCTATTTTATAGAATTTTTTATTTGTTTTTTAAATATGTATAATTTTATTTTTTAGTCCACCCCGATTCTCAAACAAATTATCTTGAAAATAATTTATACAAAACATTGTAAATCAAAACAAATAATTTAAGTTGGTACGTGGCCATCGTGGGGGGTGGGGGGCATTAAATAATAGAAAAATGCCATACTCATGCTCTAATAAAGCACTTACAAAATTTAAAATCTTATCATTTGTGTATATAAGATTTTACTTTTTTAAATGTTTGGGACCATTATTTTACATGGTTGGTAAGTTTGTGAAAATGCTTTGTTTGTGACTCTATCACTTCTCTAAAAAAATACTTATTATTTGTTGACAATATTTTTAAATGTGTAAAATGAGGGGTTAGTATTCATTTAAGATAAAAAAAAATTTGGGACAACACATTTTTTGTAAAATACTCCCTCCATCCCAATATGAAATATGTAGTATCTCTTTATTATTAGTCTTTCGGCAAATTTTGTGTGTTTGCATATTTTTCATTAATCATTTGTTAAGTAAAATACTCTTGGCAATTCTTATTTTGTACAAGTTTTGATGTTATTTTTAAAAAATATAATTTTTATTCATTTGAAAATATTTTTTGCATTTCGGAAAAAACATTGATGTGTGGACAACATGAGATATTGAAGCTAGATAAGTAGGTAGGTAGGTAGCTAGGATCATGTACTCCTACTAGGCAATGTTTGGCTGGCCAAAAATCTGCCTTATCTTTTTAATTTATTCCCATTAATTAAATATGGAGAAGTATGGGAATCCAATTCCACAGTACATTAGCACATGACTCTACCAACCAACCAACCAAACCCACCTTTTAACTAACCCAACTGTTCTCTTCTGCTCTTCCATTTGGGCCTTTTTGAGATGGACCATGCTACATTTACACCAAAAATTGTACTCCATTTGTACATCGCAGTAATACAAAAACATTTTGATGGTTTACACCGACACAACTATTGGTGCGTTAACAAAAATTTACACGGACACAAAGTGTTGATGCGTTAATAAAAATTAGTTTTACACCAACACAAAATGTTGATGCAAAATTACGGAGTACAAATTGGGGTACAAAATATAGTGGTACAAGTAGCTTTATCCTTTTGAGATTTCCCCCAATAATATCCCTATTTAATTGTCACACTTTTCTTTTTTAATATTAATGAAAACATAATTATTTGTATATTTTCTTTAAAAGGCATCCTTTTGTTCTTGATTAATCATATTTGTTAAACATTCTGAAAAAGTTTTATCTTCTTTAAAATAAATTAATCATAATATGATACTCCCTCCGACCCAAATTATTTGCCACATTTGCTTTTTCAACGGTCGCGGGAACTTTTGTTTATTTCTATGTTTTCATTGGTTATTTGATAAAATAAAATATTCTTGACACCTCTTATTTCGAATAACTTTTCATGTAGTTTTTTTATATGTAATTTTTATTTTTTATGTTTTTACCAATATGTAAATAAAATGAATTGAAAAAACTTGATATTTTATCTCGGTAATAGAAATGTGACAAATAATTTGGAACGGGGGAATATAAAGATAATAAGTACAGCTTTTTTGCATACAAGTTACATCGACAATTATACGGAGTATAAAAATAATTGAAACACAAAGTTCATTCTATTTGATTTTAAAAAAGGTAAAACTAGATTAAAAATGAGTAGTGCTTTGTATTTAAATGAGATTAAAAAAGAAATATTTGAACTAAATAACACTAAAACTTAAGTCATTTCTCTAAATAAATCCTTAAACTGTCTTATTCATTAAATAACATTTAACAATGTCCATAATGTCTAGTGATGGAGAATATTTACTTGAATAATGACTAATGCATAATGACTAAAAGTTGTACATTAAAAAAAACAAATGTATGTGATGCTATTTAAGGAAAGTCATTGTGTTTTAGTGCTATTTCAGTAAATTCTCCTTAAAAAATGTACCCCATATTTAGATTCGACTATACCAAATCAAATTGAGAAATGGTTGGTTCACAAACAAAATGGTCACAAATCTCATAAATTTATTATTTTTGAGCTTCAATCAAAAATAAAATAGCATAGAATAATTTTAAAATGAGTACTTAAACTATAAATAGTAAATTTGTAAATTCAATCACTTTTTTATTTGTGAACATAGGCTCAATCAAGTTTACATATCATCTATCCTTACCTTAGCTCTTTTCTAGAAAACTTCCAGAACTTTGACTACACCCATGCACATATATTTAGGTTGTTGTCTTGAGGTGAATAATTTAAAACAAACACATTCATGCACCTATTTACATTTTAATATGCTAGTAAAATACTCTCATAATCCTATCATGTGCCCTCTCTCCAATTTTAAATGCTCTGTATTTTCTTATCATATTTAACTAAAATTAGTTTTAAACTACTCCATAATTTATTTTAAAGCTAGATTTAAAATTTTATAAAAGAATAAGAAATTTACAATATTATTATATCAAATAAGTAAAAAATACTCCAAAAAAGAGTAGTTAAATTATAAATTAGGGATAAGATATAAACACCCAAATTACCCCTAACAAAAAAGGTGGTCCAAACCAAAACTTTAGAGAGTCAAATGTAGTTTAATTTAAACAGATAAGCTTACAACATAACCCTCTATACGTCCTAAATTAATAAGTTTTAGTGTTTTAAAAATACTATCTGATAGTAATTAACGTTTTGAAAAAACTATCTGACATTAGTATTTAGCGTTAACGTTTTTCAAATTAATCTACATTGTTATAATTTTATCTAAAACGCTTACGTTAATTGAAAACGTTACTTTCAAACAAGACCATAAACACCCAAATTATACCTAGCCTTTAAAAAGGTGGTCCAAAGTCCAAACCAAGACTTTAGAGAGTCAAATGTAGTTTAATTTAAGCAGACATGGCCTCACATGATTTACTTTTAATATCAGGCAATTTTAAAAAAGTGTTAAAAGATTAAAAATGAGTGACTAAATGAATATTGATCTTTGCTCTTAAGTCTTACCATTCACTAGATGAAACTATGGCTTACACTCCTACTCCGTCTTCCTATATATAATCTGTCCCAAATTAAACTGTTTATTTAATATTCACAAGATTAAATTTAAATTATTTTTTTTCTTATTTTCGTTAGTCATTTGATAAAATAATATAGTCATGTCACCACTAGTTTTGTAGATCTTTTGATGTAATCTTTAAATATTTAATTTCTATTTCTTAATTCTACATCGTTTTTCATATAAAATAATTTGAAAATAACTTCAGTCAAACATCGTAACCAAAACAGATAATTTAAATTGGAACAAGTATAATTTTAGTGACGAGTATTCAAAAATTAATATAGTTATATCACTTCATATTTTGAAAATTTTATAATGTACTCCATAACAGTTAAGTGTATAAAATTAAACTTTTAACTGTATTATAATAAATAAATAAATTAAAATGAAACGAGTATAACTTTAATCTAATGTTATAAGGAATTGGACCATAAAACGAGTAGTGATTAGATTAAGACTTGAGGCCATGATTACAATTTGGGGAATCAGAAACGGACCCTAAAATGATCACCTAATTAAGCACCCAAATTAAAGTGGCTAATCAATAACTCATAATGTCAATCAAACCATTTGTATGTGTCATTATGACATTTGTGACACATGGTGCCACTTTGGGGACATCCCAATTGCCAGCACAAGCATACCGGCGGCGACGCCGTCATCGGCGCCGTCGTAAAATCGTACGACGGCACCGACTCCGCGGAGTTGGAAGTGGAGGGTACATCGGGTGCGGCTGCAGGCGGCGGCGATGGGCCCATGGACAAATCGAGATTGAACGACGGTTGCGGTTTCGAGGGCCGAGGCTCCTCGGTCGTCGTCCCGCTGCTGCATTTCGTGTCTTCGTTCGAACACGCCGCCGTCGGGGTTACGCTTCTGAAGTCCAGGCAAATATCCTTTGCTGCAGCGGCGGTGGCGGTTCCGGAGGCGGCGGAGGTGTTGAGCGGGCGGTGGGTTTGTGGGTCCACGCCACGGCTGAGTAGCTTGCGTTTAATGTGTGTGTTCCAGTAGTTCTTTATCTCATTATCCGTCCTTCCCGGCAATCTTCCCGCAATTAACGACCATCTGCAAATTAAAAAAAAACAATTAAATCTATCAAATTCTGATAATTAGTTAGACAAAAATAACAATGCATATTTATATAAGGAGTAATGGAATATGCCTTTTGAATTTTTTTTGCCACAAACAGTGATTATGGTTTGTTTAATTGGAATTCAAAAATTCAAACTAGACAAATATAATAGAGAGTATATGGGTAAAGGTTTTCCATACACTTCTTCCACATGCAATAAATAATCAATTAATGGAGTGTTGAAAGAAAGAAGCATTAAAAATCACAACTTTGAACTTTCACCCAATCCAACCATAATGTTTACAAAAACAAGAGATGACACGAATGTTTTATTTTATAGTACGAAACGATCAAAGAAAACACGCAAATGAAGAAAAGTTATTCTCGAGAGACGAGAGAAGAGAGATCAGAATTGCAATCGATTTGGGGAGGGAGGGAGGGAGTTGTAAATAAACACATACATACATACTTGTTGCCAAGGAGGGAATGGAGGTTGATGATGAGTTCATCTTCTTGGGGGGTGAAATTGCCCCTCTTGAGGTCAGGCCTCAGGTAGTTTATCCACCTCAACCTGCAACTCTTCCCACATCTCTGCAACCCTGCATCCATTTCGATCAATCCAAATCCAATCAAATTAATATATGAGAGTAAATAATATATCTTCAAGAACAAGAACAATTAATTATTTAATAATGTTCAGTTAGTTTTTTTTTAAAATAAAAAATAAAAAAATACCAGCAGCTTTGGGGAGGGATCGCCAGCAGCCTTCGCCATGGGAGCGGATGTAGGAGATGAGGCGGTGGTCTTCCTCTTTCGTCCACGCCCCTTTGTTCGTGTGTGCTTTCTCGCAACATGGTGACCGCCCCATTCTTCCTCTTTCCTGATTATTTGATTAATTCTTCACTTCACTTCAATTCAATTATATTCCTCTGTCTTCTTCTTCTTCGTTTCGCCCCTGTTTTCTTTTCTTCTATTCTCTGCTCCACATATACACTGTATTATATGTATATATACTAGTCGTACGTGGATAAGACTTACAGACACACTACAATATCCCTACCTAAATAAATCATTTACTCTTTTTATAAAATAAAAACGAAATAAAATTTTAATTTTTTTTATTTGAATATTGGTATATAAATAAATAAATTAAAATTTACATATTAAAAAAATACATCAAAAATTTCATTAAACAGGGGATGGTACGAATATTTTATTTCATCAAACAACCAATGAAAACGTACAAGTAAACAAAAGTGTCTACGGAGTATGTGATATTTCAAAACCGCGGAGTATGTTTTAAAATAAACATGTTGATATTCAATTTATATCGGGATTTAATGTATCCTTTTCATAATTTGTAGTCAAAATTTTTAAAAGGAAAACTAGGAGGCTTAAGAAAAGGAACTCCAACTAGAGGGTATATCCGCCAATATTTCACTTATATACCACGCTTGTGACAAACACACATTGGTTTGAAATTGCTATTACAATGTGGTTAATTATTCCTCTTGTCCAAATAATGTCCCTTTATTTGGACATTTTCCTACAACTCACCTTCTTCCACTCCTTCCATGCATTTTTAAAAGAAAAAAAAAGAAAAAATGAAAATCTTGAACTTGATACTCTCCCCATTTCAAAATTTCAATTAACCAAAAAACTACTCCGCATTCTCCGTGTATTATTATACTCCCTATTTTTTTTCACTCTCACATGTTATGCATAGGTCTCTTGTAGACTTGGACTAAGGTATGGCCTATGATGCCTAGCTACTTCTAGGAAAACATATCTAAAAAATATTTTATTCATCTCAAATTAATCTTTACAATATATTTTCTTTGATCCTCTCACAAACACGGACATATTTTTAATTTTAAAAATAAATCCACGAGTTGAACAAAAGAAAAATGAATCCTATTCCGACCTGAATAGTAATTTGAAAAAAAGATAAATTATAATTTAATCTTATTAGACTGGTCAATAAAAAGTGTGGATTTGACTTCACGTTAGCCAAATACGGAATCCACGTATATTATTTTTTTTGCATCATCTATTGACAAACTAAACGATACTTGCAAGTAGGAACTTAAACAAGCTACTCAAATGCGATAGGCTAGTGCTACAACAAAATGGTCTACCCTATTTGTACAACGGAGCAATAAAGATACTCCCTCCGTCCTGAAACTTTCTTTCCGTTGCGCAAAACGAAGAAAAATCCTAAATTTTTTCAATCTATTTTATTTAAATATTGGTATAGAAATAAAAAATAAAACATACATATTTCAAAACTACATCAAAAGTTCAACAAAACAAGTGGTGACAAGAATATTTTATTTTATCATATAGGCCATGAAAAAACACAAATAAATATAAATTCCCGTGAAGTGGAAATAGTACTCTGGAAAGAAAGTTTTAGGACGGAGGGAGTATTATGTATGTGTGGATCGCAAATGGAGTATACCATTTCAGTATACCCTGCCTTTATTTTACTCTGATTTGTGTTTTTCTACATGTTTTGGTGTGTGGAACTAGGTTAGTGAGGGGCCCACAAGAAGTGGGAAGGTGGATAGATTGATTGATGAGTGTGGGGGGTAGGGTAGGGTGGGGTAGGGGGAGGGGAAGCCAACAGTTTGGAAAGAGTTGGGAAACACAAGGTGTGGGGGGGGGGGGGGTGAGTTAAAGATTTGACTGAAGTTGGTAGGGAGAGTAGTTAGTTAATTAAAGAAGAGATAAGGGGGAAGGAGGATTTGGTAGGTTGTTGGTACATGTGGTTTCCACTTTTAATAATACTCCACATTTATTTGTTATTAGTCCTAATATTAAATATTGTACAATAATGAGTTGGCCTTGTGCACTTGCCTTCTCTCCTTCCTATGGGTGGGTTGGGCTCCACACACTCTCCAACTCTCCAGCCGTTTTCAATTTGATTATAATTTTCTTTCTCTTTTCGACAATTTTTGTTTATTTACGTGATTTTATTAAGTACTTGATAAAATAAAATATTCTTGTCACTTCTTATTTTGTAGAACTTTTGATATAGGTTTTTAATATCTAATTTTTATTTCTTATCGATGTACCGATTTGTAAATAGAATAATTTCAAAAAGCGAGATATTTTTCCTCGTAAACCTCAATTTGTAATCAATTTGGGGCAGGAGGGAGTAAATCATATCCTACCGAGCATTTTTGCGATAAAAGAGATAAGCGAAAAAATATATTTTTGCACACTATGGCTCCCTCGATATAAAATTAATTTGTTCACTTACATGATGTTACATCTCATGGAGATTAAGGCTTGGATGTGGAAAGAAATTGAAAAGAATTTAAAAAACTTGAAAGTTGGAAAAAAGATAGAAGAAACCGTGAGGAATTGAAAAATAATTTGGAGGAGTTAGAAGAGACTGAAAAAATTGAAGAAATGAAAGACAAAAAATGAAAAGATTATTTTGGAATGAATAAAAAATGGGACAAGTAAATGCTGATATGCTCCGTAACTTTGTACTTCAAACGAGCTCGTGTATGATAATAAGTTTTTTTTACCGTAGTTCCAAAAAAGTTTTTTCATTCTGATAAAACTATATTTTAATTTTATAATATACTCCATAATTATTAAATTTTTAAATTATAAATATATTTCAAAAAACACTTTGGTTCACATGACATTGGGAACCAATGTCATGGGAACCAAACCCATGAAAAAGTTTTTTCATTCTGATAAAACTATATTTTAATTTTATAATATACTCCATAATTATTAAATTTTTAAATTATAAATATATTTGAAAAAATGGTCAGTAGTTACATTCCGGACCAGGTTACTACCATTTGGGCCTTTCAGCCCATCAAAAAGTGGACCACACCATGGTCCCCGGGTTATCTTTTATTGTTTTGTTTTCTTCTTTTATACGGAGTATTTGAATATCACTTGATGGCCTAATCACATCTTCTCCACCTCTTATACTCCCCCAACTCAATCCTCTTTATTTAGAATATACTTTCTGCGTCCATAAATATTTGTCATACTCGTATTCTCGAGGTTAAATATTAACTTTTTCAATTCATTTTATTTACATATTGGTATAAAATAAAAAATAAAATTTATATATCAAAAACTTCTTTAATGTCAAAAATATTTTATTTTATCAATGAAAACGAATATAATGTCACACACAATATAATCCCCCACCAAAAAAAGAATAAAAAGAAACTGTACACCTATAGTTCTCATCAAGAAAGCCTGAAACTAAAATGGTTTAAACAAATCTAATGTTTGGCCCCTGAAGAGAAGCTCTTAAACCTCATTCTTAGAGCACTGGAAATACTCTTAAAGTCCCGGGGCTTCAAACCGGAGCTTCAAAATTTCGCTCTCTGCCACGTCAGCTTTAACTTACTTCACAGATTCAGTGGAAATGGGTTTGAAGCCCCAGGACTTCAAACATGGGCTTCAAACCTTCATTTTTTACATTTTTAATCTTCTAAATTTAAATTAATAAATTTTAATTAATTTATTATTTAAACTAATTGCAATGAAACTAGTGCATTAAAAAATTTACATTCATTTAAAAAAATATTACATTCATAAAAAAATACGTTCATAAAAAAATTACATTCATTAAAAAAATGTTACATTCAAAAAAACAACACTACAAAGAAATTACTAATTATTCGAGCGACTAAAGATATGTTTGATCAAATCCGCCGTTAGTGCATTGTGAATCTCTCGGCTTTGAATTTCTTGGCGGTTTTTTCGTTTCTTTTCTTCGTCGATTTCTTCGTACATAGGCACCTCCTTGTCCGGGTTGTATTGACAAATCGCAGTCTCATTGTCCTCTATGATCATATTATGAAGAATAATACATGCATACATGATATTTCTCATTTTCGTTTGAGAAAAACATTTTGACGGTTGATCTAGAATGTGTCATTTACCCTTCAAGACCCTGGAGGCTCGCTCAATATCTTTTCTCGCCGCCTCTTGAGCTTTTTTGTAGGTCTGGTGTTTAAGACCCATTGGTTCGGAGAGGGATTTGACAATCGTGAAATAATCTGGATATATTTCATCGGCCAAATAATATCCACGCTTGTAAGTGTCCCTCTAAGCTCAAAAGACGAGTCGGGTGCGGTCTCGTTAATCTAATCGTCAAAAACTGGCGATTGATCGAGAACGTTGATGTCGTTCTTTGAGCCCACGACATCAAAAAAAGCGTGCCAAATCCACAAGTCATTTGAAGCAATAGCTTCGAGCATGATAGTAGGCTTGGGATGATCTCCTTGGGAGAATTGACCATGCCATGCAGTGGGACAATTTTTCCATTCTCAATGCGTGCAATCAATACTCCCAAGCATGCTGACAAAGCCGTTTTTAGCGGCATGCCTTGCCTGTAACTACTGAATGTCCCTCGCTGTAGGCTTGCGTAAATATCTTTTATGTTAAATTTGAATAATAGCTTTAGAAAATTTATAAACATAGGACCTGATGCTCCGAGCTGACATCTTCAAGTATTCGTCGAACATATCAGATGTGAGAAATGTGTGAGAGAAAGTTTTTTTAAGGGGAATTTATAGTTTTTTTTTGAATTTAGAATTTTTTTTTATTTGGGGGGGTGGAGGGGGGGAGGTAACGGCTATATATATAGCTGTTTTTGGCAGTTTGGGGGAGGGGAAGAAACGTGTCAAAACTTTGACGCGGTACTCATAACGCCGCGATGAAGCTGATGGGGGGCGGTGTTTAACGCCCCCGGCGTTAAACTCGGCCATCACGCCGGTGGGTGGGAAGACCATTTACCAGTGCATTGTCGTAAAGAATGCGAAATATGCAGTCCAGAATATAAAGCAAATCGGAATATCATGTAATTTTATTTACCCGTGCTAACTCAATAAACTTTTGACAATGAAGCAGCAGAAAACAAATAGCTAGCTGATGAACCATCCTGCAGATGCAAAACATATCCATTTAGCAGCAAACTCCAAACATGGATTAAAGGATGACAAATAACACATCACATCATTTCACTTGTTCCAGCTGGCACTGTGGAAGCAGATTAATTATTATACTTAGTCTAATTAAGCATCTCTAGTCTCATAATGGATGATCATCAGTTCAGAAATTGTGGACAGATTGCTTGAGTGAAGATGTATCATAACTCAAGAATTGTGAACAAATAGCTAGCTCTCCTCCCTTTGTCCCCCACTCCCTCCATGACCACTCATTTGTATTTGATTTTATTTACTTATTCTTTTTTTAATTTTCTTGCCAATTTTCTAGAAGAATCTTTAAAAAACTTTATAGTATACGGAATTGATGGAATTGGAATTGAATTGGAATTAAAATTCAATAAGATTCAATTTCATAGAATTGAATTCACCCATTACAATCCATTTTTTGCACTACCAATTCCAGATCCACATAATTTTTGTGCTACCAAACACGAGATTTAGAATTGAAGTCCTCAATTCCAATTCCATAATTTGAATTCTGTGTACCAAACGTGGCCTAAATGAAAAAATAGAAACACAAAAGAAAACAAAGAAACTAAAAACTGATAGTATCTCACCAGTTCATCTAACTTTCCTCTTTTCTCTCTTCTTTTTCATTTCACCTCACTTTTACTCTTAATTTTCCTCACATTAGAGCACTGGTAATACTCTTCACGCCCACCGGCGTTACGGGGCGTTAAACGCCTCAGGGGCGTGAAACACCGCCCCCGCCGGCGTTAAACGGGCGTGAGGAGCCCTGCGTCAATTGTTTGACGCGGCATGACTCTTGCGCGGCTCCCTCCTAACGGCTAAAAAAGCCGTTGCAGCCCACATTTCAAAAAAAAAAATTCCTATAAATTCAACCCCCAAACCAATCTCTCGCACCTTCTCTTCAATCTCTTCTTCTTTCTTATTTTTAAATTTCAAAATTCAAACCCCCTCCCAAATTTCAACATGAATCCTTCGGGCTCCGGCTTCTTTCCCGACGATCTCCCGCCCGTCGACGCCGCGATGTGGTATTACCAAGAGTTGGACGATCGACCGCCGATGTACGAGACGCAACAGTCGGGGTACGTCGACCGAGATTCGGTTCCGGAGACTCAACCGGAACCGTCCGGATCGAAAAAAAGTACACGCCGGAAAAGCCACAAAACCAAAAGCACGTTGACCGAGGCGGCACGGTCAATCCAAAAGTGGACGCCGGAGGAGGAGTGCATATTGGCGTCGGCTTGGGTTGACGTCTCCGAGCATCCTATCATTGGTTAAAAATTTATTTTTTGTAATATATTTATGTTTTTATTTTTATATATTATATTTAATGGTGTCTAAAAAAATTGTGTAATACATTTTTAAAGGTACAGAGCAAACGAAGGATGCGATGTGGGATCGTATTGAGGAGAAGTTCTTCACGGCGATGAAGAAGGACGGCTCCTACCGAACCCGGGACCAACTCACTTCCAAATGGAGCCACATCAACAAAAAAGTCCGAAAGTTTATGGGAGTTTACGAGGGATGCTCCCGGTCCCGGAGGAGCGGCACGAACGACGCCGATGTTCTCCGGCTTGCCACGACCCGGTATCAAGATGACGGGAACCAAGGCAAGGTGCCCATCGATCTTTGGAGGATTTTGAGTCGTTCCCTGACGGCGGATCGTTACAGAAAAGATCCACCGTCGACGCCGAGGTTGAGGTCGACGAGACTATCGGTTCTAGCGATCAAATCCCTCCCTTCAACGTTGCGGATTCCGATGACGAGGACCCCATTCCACGACCGATCGGAAGAAAGAAGGCAAAATCCATTGCCTCGGGTTCGGGAGGGTCCGCCTCTGTTTCCGCTTCTCCCCGCGACGAAATCGGCCGGGCAATGATTGAACAACTTCGGGCGTTCAATCTACAAGAACAAGAGAGGTTGAAGCTAAAGGAGAAGGAATTGAAGCTAAAGGAGCAGGAGGCTGAGATGAAAGTCATGCAAACCGACCCCGGGACGTTGTCGGAGTTTGGACGAATGATCAATGAGCAAAGAATGAGAGAGATCGAGAAGAAATATAATTTACCTTAGTTTTTTTTATTAATGTATCGTTTTTTAAATTATTGAAGCTTTTTTTATTTAATGAATGTATTTTTTATTATTCGTGTTTCAATTTAATTAAATAATAAATTAATTACATTTTATTAATTTAATTTTAGAAGATGTATATTTAAAAATGTAAAAAAAAGAAGGTTTGAAGCCCAGTTTTGAAGCCCCGAGGCTTCAAACCTATTTCCAGTGAATTTTGGGTGTAAGTTAAAGCTGACGTGGCAGAGAGAGAAAGTTTGAAGCCCCGGTTTGAAGCCCCGGGGCTTCATAACCATTACCAGTGCTCTTACTTTAAGAATTTCTCACACCTTCTCTTATTTTTAAAATATTTAACCTCACGTGCCATAAATTTATTTTATATGCATATTTTTTATTATAATAAAACAAGATAGTTTATTTATGAAAAGTTAAAAAAATTATATTTTTAGTCTTAATATTAAAATATGGTCCACACTTTTTTACATTTTATAATTTTAAAATGACATAAAAATTATTATACTCGTAAAAAATTACTAAGTCACTCAATACTACACCCAAACATTTTTTAATTTTTACTTGAAAATTAAAAAAAAATAAAAAAAAGTTTCAACTTAAATGGAGAGCCAGATGGCAAATTCTTCCGTAGACTCAAAGTTTATACTTCTTTTATGAACCTTAGTGTATTTATAGTATAAAAAGTAGGCCTTTGCAAAAAAAAACCACATGCAACCCATGAAAATAGAATCTTTAATTCATGAAAATTTGGGTAGAATTAAATTATAAAATTTTTCTATTTTAAAGCCGAATTAAAGATTCTACAAAACAGCAATGACATGAGTATATAATTTTATCAAACAAGTAAAATAAAGTTTGACAATATAAATAGTAAATAGAGTATTAAACTATTTTCTTTGTCTAGTTATTAATACCTCAGAATATACTTCCTATGTTCTATATCTTTTTTCTCATGTTTTTTTATCAACCTTTTTAAAACTTTGACAAAAAAAATAAATGAAAAATATCTAAAATTGTGATATAAATTTTATATCAAAAAGTTTATTTTGAAATGTAGTTTTAAATTGTCATATTTTTATATTCTATGTTTATTACTCCGTAATATAAGTAGAAATATATATTAATGGTCAACATGTTACATTAAAGATCGTGAAAAATCAATTTAAAAAAGATAAATACATAACAATAATAACGATTATGAAATCATCCTATTCTTAAAAGCAGGGGATTTATGCCCCATGCTTTTTCCCGCCCAATGACTATCATCTATGCACCATCGATTTTAATCTATTACATTTAATCTACGATTATTATTAATCCATGTGTATTACTCGAGATAAAAAGGGAAATACTGTGTGTATTTAATGTGTTTTTATTTAATTACCAAAATTAATGCCGTGTGTATTTACAGCATTATTACCGTGTGTATTCCCGATTATTACCAAAATTAATACCGTGTGTATTTTAATCTATTAGGGAAATACTGTGTGCATTGTGTATCTGTTACTATTGGTATTAATTACCAAAATTAATACCGCGTGTATTTAATGCCCAGAATTAATATCGTGCATTCATTACTCGAAAAAGGAAAGCATTGTGCATATACATATTTAGGTTTTAAAGTGTTATAAAAAAAGAAATTTACTTTATACGGTCCCCACCCAAACTCACACCTTTGTAAGCCGTTGATCTTTGAGGATTTGATCATCTACGGTTGATATAAAATATTTCATTAATGTAGACCTACAACAATCTAAAAATGTAAGAATTTAATGCTATATTATTACTTTGTTACCATTAAAGGAGGAAATATTACGGCACTCTAAAAAAGGTAACAATTTCCTACTATATTATTACCTTGATATCACTAAATGAGGAAATAAATACAAAATGGCAAGAATTAAATAGGAAATGAAAAGCAATTTTTTCAA